ACATACATACATACATACATACATACATACATACATACATACATACATACATAGCAATACATAAAATTATTTTATCTTATGTCAACATAGAAGCTCAAACATTTGGATGCAGAAGTAACATGTTTGCTCTAAAATGATATTGCTTCTGCTTCTTTGTCCCGCTGGGCATCACCTTCTTTTCTCGTGCCAAAACCAGATAAAACATCAAGACTTTGTTCAAATTATAGAAAAGTAAACACTATTACAAAACTCTTTTTTTATTACCTCAAATGGATAATTGCATTGGCCAAATTTGTAAGTAAACTGGCAGGTGCCACTCTCAGAATGAGCTAAAGAAATATCATCTCATCTTCTGGTCTTCACTCTTATAATGTCATGTAACTTATGCTCCAGCAACCTTCCAAAAATGACTGAGTAATGTTGTGGCTGGGATGTTCTGTTTCCTTGGATGATTTAATTTACAGTGACATGTGGCATGTTCATCTTCATCGTATCAAGGCATCGTTTGATCGACTGGCTGAAGCCCATCTTACTATTAATCTGGCTAAATGTGTTTGCTAAACCTATTTTGTGACAAAGGTTTTGGGGCTCCRGTGACAGCAAAGACTGCAGCTGTTGAACAACATCCTTTATTAAAACCAAAGAAGAAACTACAAAGATTTTTGGGTTTGGTGGGCTATTGACGTTTCTGTAGAAATGTGTCAACTGTTGTGTTCCCACTCACTGAGTTGTTGAAAGCCAAAGTCTGGTCTTCTGAATRTCAGCAAGCTTTTGACAATGTGGAGTCTCATCCATTCATGCCTCAGGTATGCCATGTGGGTGCAGGAGCTGGGTTGCAGGAGGATAATCGGGGCATGGTGAGACCAGTCAGGTTTTTTTTTTTTTTTTCAGAAAGTTTAACCGTTATCAAGATAATTATTCCGTGATTGTAAAGGAGACACTAGCCCTTATTTTAGCTTTGCAACATTTTGAGATGTTGGTTCAGGTGGAACTCCTTTRGTTGTTTACACTGATCTTACTGTCTTTATGGATGGGGATGTTACAACCCTGGTGACCATTGGTTGAGCTGCTGCAGCAGGAGAGGATCGAGTGGAGTGGAAACACCTGAACTGTCTCCTCAGCCAAGACTGAGGTGCTGTGTTGCAGCAGAGGGGCTGTTATTGGACCTCTCCTCTCTCTTGGCCTCCTGGGTTTTTGCTTAGTTTAGTTTAAGTTAATCTGTTTCTTTTTTTTTTCCATCAAATTTTTTATTGAATATATTATTTGAAAAAGAAAGAAAAAACACAACAACACTAATGAAAACAAAAACATAAGAAACAAACCCATACAATCTCTTCCTTACATACTGAAGCTACGAACGTAAGATTCGTGTACTTTTACAACAATGGATGAATATATAAAAAAAGGGAAATAAAAGTTAACCAAGCATAAAATTATATTTTATGTCTATGCTGCGACTGACTATCCAGTGATCACCAATCAGCCATATACAGTGGGAACATAAGGTGTCAGTTTTATTCCAGGTTATCTGGGAACACCAGTTTCCCAGCACAATCAAGAAAAGGGTCCCAAATCATTGAAAATTTAGCCTGAGAACCCTTCAAGAGATATCTAATATTTTCCAGTTTGGGAAAATAGAGAACATCTCTTATCCAGTGATTTTGCAGAGGAGGTGATTTCCATTTCAATAATATCAACCGCCTTGCAAGTAAAATAACAAAGGCAATGAACAGTTTTATCTCCGTAGATAATAGTACTGCATTTGGAGTCACTCCGAACAATCTGTTTCTTGGCATGATTGATTTTATTTAGCCTAYTTAAACAGTTTATTTTGTTTTCTATAAATTAAACATTTAAATTATGTTCTGTGTCCTCTTCCCTCTTTTTTGCCATAAGCCCTGAGCCAGATTGTGACAAATGGCAGCTAGTTAAAAATAATAATAAGGAAACCACCAATATGTTTATTCTTCATTTTGGCCGCAGCTCATTGGAGATGGTCATGAACCTCCAGCAGAATCAACCAAGAGACCATCTGGAGTTAGAGAGGACAGGAAAGTGACACCCTCACAGCATCTGTTGGTAAAGTATGCTGAGGACGTAATGGTCAATAATTACAAATACAAACATGGAGGGCAGAGAAAGCAAAGGCAGTAGAGTGAGGAAATGGTCATTATGTCCTATAACAGCAGGAATCCCGAGTCAACCCAGGATTTAACAAAAGGGACATTTATTATACMATAAAACCACACAGGTTGTCAGCCTTGATCACTGAAATCTGCCTCATTGTAAAACCCACAAGTGAACCTGCAGTCTGAAGACAATACATCTTCAATACAAGATGTRGCTTGATAATTTAGAGCTTAAACAAAGTTTAAGATTCTGTTTAGAACTTTTACAGGGAATCAATGAGAGGCTAAAACTGACTTGATGCTTTGAACATTAAAGAAGGTGCTTATTTAAATGTTTCTAATAAATTATTGGCAAAATTTCTGCTTTAAATAAAGAAAAACAATCATGCTTTAAACAGTACTTACTTTGTTACATTTTTTGGAGGATTTGTAATTTTACTAAATATTTTTCCATACCTTCACTTTTATTCAGTCAAAACATATAGGTGATACTTTTACTTCTTTAAAATTTAACACCTGGTTACATGTTACATTTACAAATTTAAATACGAACGAACTCATGAAAAGAAATGCTTGAAGTAYTTTTACTTTCCGGATTATTGTGAGCAGTTGTATAATTTAAGTGCGTTTCTTATCAGGTAAATAAAGGTATTTTTACTTTTACTTTCTTTTAAAGTCTGGTTTTGAGTGAAACGTTTAATCTGAACATATCTTTTTTTTGTTCACTATCTGTCTTTTAAAGCTTCTTTTTATTTTTTCATGTTCCTACATTAATAAACTTTGTCACATTTGACCAGTCTTATTCACAACAGTCGAATAAAAAAACTGCATTTTTCTGATTCTTGCACCTTCATGGAAAGCTTTGTAAAGTCATGTAAACACACCACGCATGTGAAGAGTGCACATGCGCGCTCTCGTGTCAGACTGACGCACACTCCTAGCATTAATGAGCAAACAGGAGTGCACGTCCCGGAGCGGCGCGCAGAAGGCATCAGTGCGTAACTGCGCCCCGGCTGCTCGGACAGGAGAGAGAAGCGACTCCGTTAAAGTCAATGAGCAGCGAACAGGTCTACGTGCAGTTCTCCCATCGGACTAGCATGCCTTTCCCGTCTCGGGAGGACGTCACGGGGGTRACCAGGGAGGCCGAGGAGGTCGGACGCCTGGTGTGCGCTCTGGAGACGGAGAGGTCGAGCCGCAGCCTGCGCGGCGACTCCAAAGGGGATTACGACGCGCTCGGTCGAAACTGCGGGGTCYCCGCCGAGGTGTCCGTGCCGCTGACTCTGTCCGGGAAGCGGCACGTGGAGGGGGGCAACCTCTACAGACTTCGAGACAGAAAGCTTTTGATAGAGGACAAAAAGCGGCTGTGCACGCTGGCTCTGAGCACCGCTCTGCTCGGGATCCTGCTGATGATCATCCACGCCGAAATCTGCTCCTACGTCATCGACCCGGTAGGTTTTCCTCAACTTTTAATAAAGCCTTGGACAGTTGATGCAGTGCGGAACAGGTGATTATACCATGTCACTTGATCAGCTGAAAATTGTTTCCACTACATTTGAATAAGTGGCCTTTGAATTTGACTTTTGCCATGTTTTTCCCCTCCAAAATGTTTAAAATGTAACTTCTGTGTACAGCTGCAATAAAAAACAAGCATCACTTTTCCCAATTGGTGCCCAATCCTGGTCCTGGATGGCCACCATCCTGCATGTTTCATTTGTTTCCCTGCTCTTCATCAGGTCTTCATGTTCTGCAGAAGCCTGTTAATCATTCATTCATTCAAATCAGGTGTGTGRCAGCAGAGAAACATCTATTCAGGATGGTTAAAGATGGCCCTCACTGACTTAATAACAAAATTTCTCTGGGTGTTTCAGCTGGTCAAAGCATCTCGAGGAAAATCCATGAACTCATTAGATCATGAATAAATAAATGAATGAATGAATGAATGAATGAATGAATGAATGAATGAATGAATGAATGAATGAATGAATGAATGAATGAATGAATGCACAAAGATACTTGACATCTTTAAATGAATAGTTCTAACCTTAAGTTGGATTCTATATGATCAACATGTTTAAGATGAGCAACTTCAGCTCAGAGAAAAACTGAGCTGGGCTTAACCAAGAACAGGATTAGAATGAATGAATGGTTTTATTTATTCGGGACAGTGTTGCAATTAAAACATAATTTGATTCATTGCACCAGATTTAGCCTAAGGCTAATTTTACATCTGTAGTCCCATCAAACAGAAAAAACAAAACAACATCCAACAGTAAAATCGAAATAAGAGAGGAAAAAAAACCCAGAAAACTAAAAACAATATAACATAAAACATTTTGCAATTTAAAAAAAATAACACCCCACTCTCCAAACACAAAACCATGCCCACCTCCACCCCACCCTCCAACCCACACAACCAGAAGCAACTCTAAAATCGATTACCCAGTGCAGTTCAATGATTGCAACATTGCACATTTGTGTTCATCACTTTAGTAACTTCATTTGTACAGCACCTTTCACAGTCAAGTAGCCACTAAGTGCTTCACAATAAAACTTAACAATAAAACACAACATCCATCCATCCATTTTCTTCCGCCTATCCGGGGTCGGGTTGCGGGGGCAGCAGCTTCAGAAGGGAGGCCCAGAC